TATATGCATGTATCTAAATTGCCACCCCACTCTATTAAGGTAAATATCACTGTTTGGGTGAGCAAAGGAATCTCAAAAGGATTAAGTAACTTGCCTAAATCGTCAGATTTGAACTCTGCTCATTCTATAGAGCTTTTGCTCTCTCCACTTACTACTCAAGGCTGACTTTCCCAAACTTGACCTTTCAAATGCATCCAACATGCATTTTTCTCTTCTTCATGCAGGACAGCAAAGGAGGAAACTGGACCTTGCTGAGTTTTTGAATCTCGAAATGATTTTCATCCATGAATTTTATGCATTTAATTCTTTGAAGTTTTCTGCTAGACACAAGGAGTTGAATTTCTAGGCTGTGTCTAACTTCAGGGCTACATTGTATCCCTGGGGAGTTACAATGTAGTCTATTTTCCTGACTATTGTTGGAGCCTCATTCCCACAGGGTGATATTCCTTCTACTTTCTTGTTACTCTAAATTCTGACAGTCTCAAATCTGTGCATTGCCTTTACCCATGAAGTATGGGCTTTTGATCTGCTAGGATACATACTAAAACAATAAAATTCAATTTTAATGGTCTCCCAGAGGTTTAAGTGGTGGACATCCCAACATACGGCCAAAGAGAAACTTAGACATGGAGAAGGCTGTAATTCAGTCCTGGTGAGGTATTAAGACTGCACTGAGCCCTTACAACATACAATCCCTGGCATGGCCTTCTACTGGAGGAGACCATTTTCAAGATAAAGGAGGCCGAAGCCATAGAGATATGCAACAGAAAAGAGAAGATTTTAAAGCACAAAGATCCTCTCTAGCAAATCATTACAGGACTTTAAATATAAATAATCTTTTAACCTCGAAACTTTTAAAAGAGCATAAGAGTATTAAAGATATCCAAAATTTTCTCTTTTTTTTTCTTTTGCACTAGAGGTGCTGACACAAAAACTACTCAATTCAAACATTTAGCCTCATGTTACACAGTAGGCTTTTGGTAAATATTTGTTGGAAAAATGAATAATCAGAATAATAATTGAAACAAAGCCTATTACTCTTTTTACTATTCCAGCTGCCTTCCATTTATTTACTCATTTAACAATCATTTATTGTATCCAGTTGACAAGTGCTGCAAAAGTACTGAGAATACAACTTTAAAAAATGTACCTACTTCCTATCCTTATGTAACTTTTCTACATAACCCTCTGTTTAACCCAGGGCAATGCCTTCATGATCCCTTAAATCATATAAAATGGGAGGAACAATATTTCTGATATCACTGTGGAGATGTTATGAAAATGAAATAAGGCATTATGATTTGTGAACTGTTAAGTGGTATACTTAAATCACCTATCAATGGTGTCACTTAGAATCCAAGTAACAGAAAACCTCACTTAAATGGTTTAAATTCATCAAGTGTTAACTCAAGCAACTGAAAATGCTAGAGGTAATTTTTTTCTTTTAATAAAAGCAAGAAACAAGTGTGATGACACTTTTTAAATGCGTACAAGTGTGCCCTGTTTACTTTAAAAAGTACACGTAAGAAATGATCCAGCATCAGAACAATTTCACCGAGAACCCAATTTCTTTGCAGCTCTTCATTTTGCCCTTCTTGGTGTTTTTTTTACCAAATTTTACTTGCCACCCTTTAGGTGTGTCCTCTACGGCTTCAGCAGCTCACAGGCCTGGGACTTCCTCCTTCTAGAACAGGATGGAAGAGAGAGCATCTCTGCGCAGCTTTTCCAAAGGAAAACCTGAAGCCTCATTCTGATTGGGTCCCCTTAGGTCACATGTCCACTGCGTAACCCAAGTCTATGTCCAGAGGAATGGAAAGCACGGACTGGCCTAGCCGACACCACTTACCCTGCCCCCCACTCACCTGGAGATGGGGTGCAATCAGCTTCCCAGCAACCTCTTGAAACCCCCAGTGGAGAGTGGAGGGGTGGAGGGAAACAGATGATGAATACGCAACCAACAAAGTGCTGGACTTGCAGCAAGAGTCACCCAATAATACTGCCTGAAATCTACTGAAAAAAAATCTTAGTATTTGAAAAAATTAGAGACATGATTAGACATACTAGGATGTAGGTAAATGTTTATATTTACCTAAATGTTTATATGTACATTAGTATATGTATTTATGAAAAGTAAGTTAATAAACAGACTCATTTACATAACCTGTTTTACTCCAAATAATAGCCATATAACTTAAGTGAAATTTTGACATTTATTAACATTTTAGAAAAAAAATAAAGGTCTGCCTGTCTGACAATAGACACTTCCAAGGATTATGAAAATTTCCCTGTTTAAATCTCCTATTCAAATCACTAGTCAGATACGATGATTTCTCATTTCCTCACCTCTGAATAATTTTTGGTGATAAGATGGGCCACCCCTAGGCCAGCCTTATACAGTGATATACCTACAAGAAAAGAAAGTCTACATCTGTAAAATTTTAAAGTGATAAAAATCTTCACTGAAGGTATCTCAAAGGCCCTAAGGAAATCCTTACCCTAAGGAACTTCCAACCATCTTTTGTGATCAACTATTCCCCACGTCATTGGTGTGAGACAGATGGGGGTCCTTACTTTATGTGCCTCTTGTGTCTGGGCCATATGCACAGCCGGGAGAGCTCCACTAAAGTCATTTTAAAGCACCTTTTCTATAGGTGGGACTTACAGCCATCAGATTCACTACATATTTGAAGTATTTTGGCTTGAGGTATGGGACCCACCTTACTAAATCATCAGAGAGAACTTGGGGAAGTAGATGGAATTAAAAAACAGCCAGCAATGGCATAATAATTTATTGGGTTCAGAAAAGGCCCATTCTTTGCAAATGACCTGAGATCCTGTCTCTTGGTACCAAAAGTGGGAATTTTGAGGAAGGTCCAAAAGGGGTCCCCAGTTCCTAAGTGGATAGAAAGTGATCTGTTGCTATTGGAGGGAACAGGCTGTTGGAATTACCATGCCAACTACCAGGGCTCTTGAGCTGCTCCCGCTAAGCCGTGATATGCATGTTGGTGAGTGGTTTTCAGGCCACACTCCCCAGAGCCTTGGGTGCCCCTGGCAGCTTCCTCACAGACCACTGTGAGGGACGAGGGGAGCAGGTCTCTAGGGTCTCCACCCTGCTTCAGCCAAAGTCCCTCACTTCATCTCATTTACATCTTGAACTTCTAGGAGGATTTTATCTGAAGACTTCCTTTTCCAAGACAGAGTACCAAACACACGTGACTGCCCCCTGTCCAGCATCAGGTTTTCCGAAATCACAGAAAATATCTGTAACGTAACAATACTTAGAAAAATAGAAAGGGAATCTTTAGTGAACCAGAAATGGTCAAAATCCCTGAAAGACTGAAAGGATCAAATGGAAGGGACAAAACCCAGCCCAGGATGTGTACAAGAGGCCCTACTGCAGAGGTCAAGCAGCACCAAATAGCTGCCCACTTAGTGGGTGGGCGTGAGGAGCTGGGGTGGCTCCGGCACTAAGGCAGGTGCTTAGTTGCAAAAGGATGAACAAAGCTGTCCTGGCTGGACGCACTCTTCCCCAGCATGACCGTGAGTCGTGTCACAGCAGGCGGCAGCCACGTCACCTCTCCTGCCAGTGGTCTGTGCAGATGTAGTCTTGTTAATAAATAAACCCAGTTGATGGGCCAAATATCCAAATGGATACAGGTGAATAGGGGGGATCTCCCAGGGAGTGATGCACAGGGATAAAGAAATGGAGCATAAAAAAAGTAAGAAATAATAATCATAAATAAATATATAAAAATTTATAAAATTTATCCTTAAATTTTGTTAAAAATTATTTTAAAATAACAAAAAATTATTTTAAAATATATTCAAATGTTTCAAAATATATATTGTAATATATTTTTTAAGTTATAAATAAGTCTTTTAAGAGTCCCAGAAGGAAAAAATTGAGAGAAAGGAGAAGTAACATTTAAAGAAATGATAGAGAAGAATTTTCTAAAATTGAAGTCCTCAAATTGTGCACCCTCTGGAAGAATGAAACAGGACACTTCTAAAAACAAAATGATACAAATCTACCCCTATTACCATTGGAGTGAAATGTCCGCCTATAAAGGAAAAGGGAAAACCCCTAGATTTTCCCAGAGACAAAGCAGGTCACCTACCTCAGAATGTGAAACAGTTTGACGTCACACTTCATCAGCAGCAGCCAGAGCAGGAAGACAATGAGTCGTCATTTCCTGGAAAGCAACTTTATTCTAAAAATCTCTACCCAAATGCTCAAGTACGAGGGCAAAAATTAAGGCAATTTTGGATGTACGAAAACTAAGAAAGCATCCCAGAGAGAAAGTGCCTTTCTTTCCTGAAAGAATTACTAGAACATATATTACACAAGAAGAAAAATTAACCAGAGGGAAGTATTAGGAAACAAGAAGCAATGATAAGCAAAGAAATTAGCAAAATGTATAGTTGACCTAATAAATATTGAGTGTAAAACGTGTGTGTGTGTGACAGTTTGAAACCAGTATCTGTGGCTTAAAAAAAAAAGTTCAAAAACTTCTTTAAAAGTTTTCTTTTTAAAAAGAGAAAGGGCTTGACAGCAGGCTTCTGCCATATGTCACCTCTTGGCCAGCATCCCTGCTGCCAGCTCTGCCCACAGGGGTGTCTTCACTTATCGTCTGAGGGGCAAAGCGAATCAGGGGAGTCACCCTTTCCCAACAGGCATCGTCTGTCCTGTCTGCCGTCTGCGAGGGGACAGGAGAGATGACCCATCAGATAGGTGACCGCAGGGAAGGGGCCACACAGCTCCTCCTTCATCCTCCCCAGATCACCCACCCAGCTGGGAAGGGGTCCTCACACCCTGCAGCGGTGAGGAAGGGGACTGGGCTCCTCGAGTCCTCTCTGCCTCTCTCTCTCCTCCTGGCTCTCAGCATTTCCCTTGAAGCCCTCTCTCACGTTTTTCTTAACTTTGAAAATATTGTGGTGGAATATATATATATAAGAAAATCTCCACTTCAACCATTTAAAATTTTTTAATTGTGGGGAAATACAATATCATAAAATGTAGCATTAACCGTCTTTGTGTCCAGTTCAGCGGCATCAAGTACATTCGCATTGCTGTTCACCATCACCCATCTCTAGAACCTTTCCATCATCCCACACTGAAGCTCTGTCCCCATTAAGTCACTCCTCATTCTCTCCTACCCCCCAGCCCCTTGAAACCACCATTCTACTTTCTATCTCTATGAATTTGACAACTGCAGGTATCGCACGTCAGAGGAATCACACAGTATTTGACTTTTTGCATCTAGTTTGTTTTACTTAGCATATGTTTACAAGGCTGATTTATGTTGCAGCGTGTGTCAGAATTTCCTTCCTTTGTAAGACTGGATAGTATTCCACTGTACAGATATATCATATTTTGTTTATCCCTTCATCATCAATGGGTATTTGCATTGTTTCCACATTTGGGCTATTACGAATAATGCTGCCAAGAACATTTGGTATACAAATATTTGCTCAAGTTCCTGCTTTCAATTATTTTGTGTATATATCCAGAAGTGGGATTTCTGGATCATATGGTGATTCTATGTTTAAATTTTTGAGGAACTGCCATATTGTTTTCCATAGAAGTTGTCCAGTTTTGCATTCCTTCCAGCAGTGTACAAGAATTCAGTTTCTCCACATCCTCACCAACACTTGTTTTTTTCTGGTTTGTTGCAGGGGTAGAGGGGTTGTCTTTCTTTAATAGTCACCCTAATGGGTGTGAAGCAATATCTCAGTATGGTTTGATTTGCATTTCCCTAGTGACTGGTAATGTTAAGCACCTTTTCATGTGCATGTTGGCCATCTGTATGTCTTCTTTGGAGAAATGTCTATTCAAATCCTGTGCCCAAATTTTTATTTATTTTTGTTGTGTTTGAGCTGTAAGAGTTCTTTCTATATGCTGTATATTAATCCCTTATCAGATATATGATCTGCAAACACTTTTACATAGTTGTGGACTACCTTTTCACTCTGCTGATTATGTTTTTGATGGACATGAAACCCTCTCTGGTTTCCTCACCACCTGCATCCAGCTGCTTCTCTCAGGTTACCCTGCACCCTCCATGGGGTTAGCTGGTGTAGGGGGCATCCTCGGCCCTCTATCTCTGCCCACCAGGGTGGGCTCCATCCCAGACAGAGGTGCTGCTCCAGGCTATGTCTTAACACACTGGAAGCTAAAGAATCCTATCCTGAGGATTTGCTAACAGCTTTTACAAATATGGAAATGGGTTGTAAACTGATTTCAGGGACAAATTTTTTAAAAGAAAAAGCAACGTATGTGCTTTAAAATTTAGAGAATGTAGCAACTCCTCTGCTCCAGCCTGAGGAAGTGGTTGTGCTGAAGAGTGATTTGGTAACTACTGAACAAGATCAACAGACAGGTCTGTGCCTGAAGCCCGTGAGCGGAGCCAGTGGGGTCAGCGCGAAGTAACCCAGGTCAGGACACACAGCCAGGGCTCACTCAGCCCATCCACTCAGGGAAGCGTCTGATGCTGGTCCAAGCCAGTCCTTGGCCTCTGCTGGGGAAGGTGGCCTGTGCGGACAAGCCAGCACGGTCTGGGCTCACCTCAATTGCAGTGATCTGGGGCGATAACTTCCCCTCCCTGTCTTTCAGTTTCTTACATAGAAAAACCAGATCAATAATTGTTATAAAACCCTACCTTTTGGTTACATGATACAATTTATACAGTGTTTCATATGCATTATCCAGTTGTGGAAAATACTACAATGCAAAGCATTGGAAAAGAATAAAATGCTTCACATATGTGAGGAATTCTTTTCTTTCTTTGAGAATGGCTCTGGGTGGTTCCACTATTGTTTGGTTAAAAGAATTACAGAATTTTGAGACATGGCTGCTTATCTTGTGTAGACTGAAAGGCAATTAAACAATTACTCATGTCAGAATGTGAGGTGAGGAGAAGTCGGCTTCAAAGGGTCCACTTGACAACGTGAAAAGCGGTTGAGTAGAAACAGAGCGGTGTATAATTTCCTCCTGGAATATCCACTCCATATGGCCCCAAGCAAGAATTTCAAACTCATCTGTAGGGAGAAAGAGACAGAAATAAAAACATTAACTCGTTTGCTCTGATTTCTCTCAGCCATTTTCTGAATAGCCTGTGAAAACTATCCCTTCCTTTAAACGGAAACCAGCCAAGCCCTCCAAGGAGGGTTTCTCTGCATGGAGGGATTGTTCGATCGTGAACCAGTGTCTTTTGCCAGGAGGGCCGTACCAGCAACGAAAGGCAATCATAAAAAGACCTTAAACTTTGATTCCTCTTTGCTGTCTTCTCCCACTTCCAGCTGCCAGCAGCAGGGAACCACAGGACGAATGAATGGAAGCCCCTTGCCCCGAGCCCCACAGCCAGGCCACCAGCCCTCCAGCGGCCCCAACGGAAGAATGTAAAGTTAGAAGCACGTGACCCCAGGCCCCCCTCACCACCACCACCACCTCATTCTCCCCAAACCCCAAGGACTTTCCCTCTCCTTCCATGGGGCTAGTCTACCCCAGTGCCAGGGGTCCAGCAAACCTTGCCTGGGGTGCCTATGAACAGACACGGGTCCATCTCCTGCTTTCCTGGGTCTTCTGTACCCCGCCTGGGGCAGCCACCGTCCTGCAGACAAAAGGATCTTCCAAGCAACTCCACTCTGTACTTATTTCCAAAAACCCAAAGGGGACCCTGGGCATGGTGGGCAGCTTACTCTCCCGAAGTTTCCCCTCCTGCATATGTCCGGCCCACCCTGCAGTCCCGCTGCGCGACTCCACGCTCAGCTTGGCTGAACAACCAGCTCCGTACACGCGGCTCCCCTGCATCTGCTACCACGCCTTGACTAGGAGTCTATCCAGTGAGGTTTCTCCCTCTTCAGAGGAGGGCGAGGGCTGTGCCAGTGCACCCCTATAGGTGATGCAAGCTGCCTTGAGCTCTTTTAGTTCTCTGGCTCCCTCCAAGCCATCAACCTGGGAGTAGTGACAACCTCACAGCCTGAGCCACTGCTGGACACCGCTGGGAATGCAGAGATGAGTAAAGTGTGCTTTCACCCATCTAGAGGACACTAGGGGGTTTCCTACCGTCTCCTAGCCCTGCTGCAGCCCCTTCTTGTGCTGCGGCTGAAACCTCCACTTACCAGAGCGAAAGCCGTGACGTGGCCAGCTTCTGCCCTCCGTGAGTTTATCGTAAGCCCACTCCATGGCCATGCCTCCCTCCCAGCATCAGAACCACAGCCCTCAGTGGGAATCTGCCTCATTGTGCCAGAGAGCTGTGGAGGGCGAGGCAAAGCTAGGACCTCTTTATGAACCTAAATTCAACCTCAGGTTCCAAGGACAGAAATTACTCCTGGAAAATATGTCTTCAAGGAGCATTTGGGGTGCCTATAAACGTTGGTGTAATATGTGGCTTTTAACATTAGTCATCTCCCTGCTGGGAAAGAGGTTAGAAGTCTAGAAATAGGGAGATTGCAGCGCTGGGCTGTGTGTGGCTCACTGAACCCCAGGGGAAAGGGTGGAGAAGCAGCCAGTGTCCTACTTAAAAAGGTCACAGTGCACTATTTCAGCTTTAATGTCCAGAGTCCAAGTGAAATAAAGTGAGAAGGTTAAGATCTAAGCGGAAATTCACTGAGATCATCTGTGCCATTTGGATGCTCTGAGACTTGCTTGCAGTAGGGAACGCAACCACCTTCGCCAACTTTCTGTGAGCAGAGATGAAGGAATGGGCATTAATAAGGGTATCCATAAAGAAAAATTGCGAATGACCAGCACAGTATGGCAAGAAGAAAGTCGGTGGAGTTCCCTTCCTTCAGGATTCTTGGAACAAGACAGATGCATGAGTTAGGGGCAGATGTACCTGGAAATGAGCAAACTTCTTTCCAGGGCTGTGACCCTGTGTTGCATGTAGGCCTCAGCTCTCAAGGCTGCCAAGGCCTGGGTGAGTTGTTCCAGGGGTGTGGGATGCCGTGACGGTGCTCGTGCAAACCCACCAGCTTGAACCAAGGGGTTCTGACCTCCTTTCTCCTGGCAGAGTCTCTGCAAGGTCACGTTCTTTCTGTGGGGGTTAATAAGGCTTTCTTGTCTCTTCCCAGCTTGCAACTTGCTGGCTGTGACTGCCCCCGCTCCTGCTGCCTACGGTCACCCTTATGGTTTGCCTGCTGATGTCGGCCCGTCTGCACTGGAGGCTCCAGAGAAGAGGAAAGGTGCCATCTGTACCAGTGTTTCTAATAGAGAGGGGGCCTTGCATCCCCAGTTTATTGCTGAAGTGTCCCCTGGTGGGGCTGACCGCAAGTTTTCCCTCCATGGAAGGAACTACCAGTGCACATTTCCTCCAACACGCAACACACTCCTCTCAACGATCAACTAATGTTCCGGAAGAGATGCCGCGATCTGGGGCAAATCTATACCGAGGGCTTTATACACACTGGACATCATGCAAAATGCTTCACACACGTTAACTCATTTGATCTTTGCTTCAACCCCCGAGGTAGGTCCTATATTGTTCCTACTCTCCCAATGTGGCCACAGATGCATAGACACCCAGCACCTCGACTCTTGGACATTAGTCGAGAGGATGCGGGTGGCTCGGTCTGCTCTGTGTGTTTAAGGGGACTCGTCACTGCACAGTAGGAGCCAACCCTCCTCCCATCTTTCTGCCCCATCAAGTATCCCTGTCCTCTCAGGTATCCCTGGTGTGGAGGCAATGGTGCACCTGACTCGTAGATACACATTAGGCCTCACTACATTACACTCACTGGTAGCTCTTGCTTTTCCTGTACTTACAGTGCAGTTCAAAAATGTGAGCACAGCTTCAAGAAATAGGCAAGGCAGCCTGTACAATAGCTAAAGTTAAGATATTGAGTATTTATGGTTGCTCTGTTCTGCGAGGACTCAACCCTCCTAACAACCCTAGGACAGAGAGTTTAAGTTACATGCACAAGACTGCACAGCTCTTAAGTAGAGAGGCCAGCCTTCATATTCAGCAACAGTGTGGGCTTATTCCTTGCCAATGCCAAATTCAACAAGGTTTTCACTCTTCTCACATGCTTCCTTCTTATCACTCTTTACAAAAGAATACACCAGAAAGACCAGAATTAAAGTGAGACACATGAAGTAGCTAAAAGGAGGAGCTTAAGTCCAATGAGTTACTGTGGAGTCCAGGCTCGGCCCTCCCACAGGGCAGCATTTGGGTCCTCCTTAGCCCACTTGCCTTTTTAGACTTTTTTTTACACTTTTATGTGTAGTGTCATGTTCATTGCTGAGCTTGGGTGACAAAAAATTTCCCCACCTGCTGCCTCACAGAAAGTCTCGAACCGTCACTAGGATCTCCATGGATGGTGATGAGAAGGATGGCCGGGAGCCCTGTAAGCAGGAAAAGGACTTGGTGGTGGGATTGTCATGGGGTCCAAAAATAGTGAGTCACTGGGAATGGGTTGACCAAAGAAGAGTAATGGGTGATTCCAGGAAGAGGAGATGCCTGGACTTACAAGAACGGTCAGCAGGTGAAGTTTGGCAACATTTTCAGCACACAAGGGGCCTTTGAAAGCCCTTGGCAATGGCCTAGGGGTGCAGAAGAGTTCCATCGGTCTGGGGGCAGCCTATGTGACCATTGGCTAGGATGTCCGGTTCACACCTGCTGTCCTGGCCCCTCATCCGGTTAGCACCCCCGTCCATTCTCACAAGGGTCCTCACCTGGACAATCCACTATACGCATGCCCGTGTCTGGCAAATTGTAAGAACTAACAAGTAGGGCCTAACATTCAGTTATATTAAAGGTGCTTAAGAAGTCGTGTTTTAAAAAAGCCTGTATCACAATTCTAGCTAAGCATGTACAGAGGATAGGGCCTTGGACACATGTACTTGCATGTGGTTGCAGCCTAAGTCAGTTTTGACAGCCAGAGTCAGACCTTCATTCCCCCACGTTATTTGGTCTGGGCCCAATTTCAACAAAATAGTCCCAGCCAGCATCTGTCACAAAGATATGCAGGAAAAGCCAGGCCTTTCATAGACAAGTCATCTCCCATCTATCTGCAGCCAGTTGAAGCAAGGAAAAAACTTACCACAGGTTTAAAACACACCCTAAGACAAAATGATGATGCTAATTCTTATCCAGGAATGCTTTTGAGCTTAAAACAACTGAATCCAAAGAAGTTAATTAAAACCACATAGAGTTGTCAGGGAATTTAAAAATCAAATAGAAGGTTCTTTTGAAACAGTGAGACTCACTGACTCTGTGGCAGACAAGTTTGCAGAGGAGCCAGCTTATTTGCATATGGGCTAAAATACTTTCAGGGAAGAAAGGGAATTGCCAAGTGTTCGCGGAGCAGATTGCGTGACAAGGAGGAGACAGCTCTGTCCTTTCTACTCGGACGTGGAGTCCGTCCGCAGGGCTCCCTCGGGGTGACGTGTAGGCTCCTTTGGTGAAGTCTTATTGAGCTGATGGACGTGCTGCTGTTGATGGGTTTATTACTACGTGAAGTGGAAAGGCCTGATGTCCATGCATCTTAAACTTCAAGGCTGGCCATGCACGCTCCCATTGAAACTTGACTGCTTTGGGCAACGTGCTTTGATTGGCTTCATGTCTAGCTTGCATGTTTCTGCCCCTCCCCAAGGCGCCTGGGAAGTGCTGAGCACTGAGTCAGGGAACCCACTTTTTCTCTGCCTATCTTCTCATTCTTCTGTTGTTTGTTCACTGGACAATGGATAAACAATGATAAAAAGAATAAAGTCCCTCCCAAAGCCTTATATTTAAAAGAAGTGGAACAAAAACAATGAGAATCAAGCAACTTGAACTAATTTGCACTGTGACTAAGGAACAAAGAATCTGGACGTACCTAATTTTGGATTCCAGATTCCAACCATTTCATAAATAAAATAACCACCAACTCTATTGCAAGGTATGAATTACATACACAGGGAGAGGTTGTGTTTAAAAGTTCCTGCTGGTGCACTATTTACAATAGCCAAGATATGGAAGCAACTAAGTGTCCATCAGTAGATGACTGGATAAAGAAGATGTGGTACATATACACAATGGAATATTATTCAGCCATAAGAAGAAAACAAATCCTACCATTCGCAACAACATGGATGGAGCTAGAGGGTATTATGCTCAGTGAAATAAGCCAGGCGGAGAAAGACAAGTACCAAATGATTTCACTCATCTGTGGAGCATAAGAACAAAGAAAAAACTGAAGGGACAAAATAGCAGCAGACTCACAGAACCCAAGAATGGACTAACAGTTACCAAAGGGAAAGGGACTGGGGAGGGTAGGTGGGAAGGGAGGGAGGGAGAAGGGGAATAAGGGGCATTACGACTAGCACACAGAATGTAGGGGGAGGCACGGGAAAGGCAATATAGCACAGGGAGACAAGTAGCGACTCTATAGCATCTTACTGTGCTGATGGGACAGTGAGTATAATGGGGTGTATGGGGGGGACTTGGTGAAGGGGGGAGTCTAGTAACCATAATGTAACTATATTAATGATACCAAAATAAATAAAGTTTCTGCTGGCAAACTGAGATTCTCATTGCCACTTTTAACCTTGTCAAATAAAACCATTCTAGACAGTGAGGTTGGAGAGACTTCGTGGTACATTATAGTATGAAAGCTTAGAATTTGCTCTCCAACGTTGGGGAAAATCTGACTATATTCGTTTACTGTCTATTAGGGTCATCACACCCAGCCATATTTTTAAAGAAAGAAAATGTATGTCACTTCCTTGATATGTGTATCATCTAAATAAACACTTGGAGTTGATACTAGGTGTCAATGAAATGCTGTATGACAGCATAAGATTGCTGATATAAAACACATATGTTCTCTCTTACAAATGCATATCTTTTTATCCTAATAAATACTATGATATAGATACACAAAAGGGTATCTCATAAATAAAATCCAACTTATTTTCAGAGTCTGAGAAGACCCCACTTGAGGGGAGAAAAAAAGACCTTCAACATATTTGCTTTATTCCTAGATAATTGGTACATACTTAAAATATGGCAAGTAGAAACAATGGCATATAATACTCTAACAAAAATCCCTAAGGGAAAGCAAAAAACTATTTACTCTAATTAATCCTGTAGCTATTTTCATAGTCAAGGACTGCTGAAGGCTTTGAACTTATTCCAAACACATACCGTCTTTATTCAGAATTGATAGATAGAGCACCTGGGTGCACGGTTCTGTTCCAAACCATCAAACACAAATACACGAATGCCTGCTGCACTCTCACTGCACACCAGGCACTATTAGACTCTGGGAAATAAATGCACAGTTCTGCAGTAGGCTGATTGGTGGCCCCCAAAAAGGTATGTC